CTATCTTGTCTAGACCAGTTTCTCCCCATAGGTGAGGGGGTGGGGTGGGGGTGAGTAAATGTTTCTGAAATTAAGATTTTTTTGCCTCTGCACAACCTCCCTCCCTCCCTTCTTCAACACTTCCATGTATTTCTTCTGCCTTATCAAGAATGATTCTTTAATATTTGTAAGAGTAGAAGTTTCATTCAAGTCTTGTGGCATGTGCTAAAAATCTTCTTGGCAGTGATGTGAGGTAATAACCTTTTGTTTTGCAGAGAGGTGAGTATCTATCCAAAATATAGTTTCAGGTAAGTAAAATGTTAACATTGTTTTCAACAGTTTTTCTTTTGAAATTGACATGCAGGGATGCAAATATATTTTCTGCTGAGTTATAGTTTGTTTTTAGATATATCTTTAGTACATTGAATTTTGTTCTCTTTGAGATTAGACTTGTAGTGTTTAAAGATTAGCTTCGAACTAAATTTTGATTTGATTTAGCCTGTTTTTATTTTTATTTATATCCACGTTTTGATTTGCAGCTTAATTGCAAACTTGAACTGTTTAGAGTTCTTTGTTTTAATGAGTAATAAAATGGTTCTTTGTTTTTTCGGTAGGTTGGTGCTTTGTTTTATATCAGCAAGAAACACTATGTGTTGCTGCTCTTTATTTGTTCATTAGCTTCTTCTTAACAGCTTAACTCTGAATCTGATTTGTTGAGAAACTTTTCTAAAGCTATCTCTCTTCTTTTCTTTACTGTATACTAGAATCACTTGCCTGTGTTTATTTGTTTAAAGGTTGTGATTTGTGTGTATATTTTTTGTTCTCTCTCTTTCTTTACTTTCAATTCAAAGTCAGAGAGAAGTGAATCCATACTGTTGAATAAAGTATTCCTGGAATCCCCAGTTTTGTGTTCCCCTACCAATTTAAAAGAAATCAGTGTTACTGAGAATACCACAATACTGTCATTGCATCTTCAGGTATTATGTCACCGTAACATGATTGGTTACTTTACCTGATTATTCCATCACTCGCCATATGCTTAAAAAGTGTAATCTTATACTTAGTTATTCCATAGAATATTTGTATGTCATTTATTCTTTTGTAGATAAACACTTGTTAAAAATCTCAGTTGTTCTTTTAATGTTTTTTTTTCAGCGAAGTGCACAGTACTTACACAAAGAACTGCCTGTTAGAATTGCCCATCGTATCGCCGGATTTCGTAACCTTCCGTTTATTGTTGGATGTAATCCTACCATTCTTGAAGTGGTAAAAACCTTTTTTTTTGTGTGTGTGTTTTTTGACCGTGATTAAAGGAGGTATTTAAAGAGAACTGAAATGAATGTGTCGTTAGAGAAATATTAAATATACGTGGGATTTTCATATGAATGAAGAAAGCGTGGGTTGTGTGGTCTGTTAAAGTTATAATTTGAGTACTTTATTTTGCAACATTTCTAACTGTTTTAGCATAATATGTTTTATGAACTTATGTCAGACTAGTGATATATGTGTGTCATTTCTTTTTTGTATTTTTCTAGCACGAGCTGTATATCCGAGCTTTCAACATTCTTTCAGAATTTCCGTTGGTGAGTATTTTTGAAGATCTAGAACGTAGCCTAATTCTTCATGTTACATCCGTACCAGTTTACTTATTTCTAACTGTAAATATAAAATATAACGGTCTTTTTGTCCTTTTTTACTAGATTTTTTCGACTTTGATAACGGTGTTTTTAGTCCTTCTTACACTAGATTTTGTTGACTTTGATAACGGTCTTTTTTCTACCTCTCTACACTAGATTTTGTCGACTTTGATAACGGTCTTTTTTAGTTCTTCTTACTCTAGATTTTTTCGACTTTGATAACGGTGTTTTTCGTCCCTTCTTCCACTAGATTTTGATGGCTTTGATTGTAATCATGCATTCAATTATATTCACTGTATATTAAGAATTTTACTGCAGATTACGTCGGTTTAGTCAATTTCCAATCAGAATTTTTGTAGTAAAAATGTTAAGGAATACTGGTTTGGTCTGTTTGGATAAAACTCGTGATTTTATATCTTCCAGATCACGGATTTCGAAACGGAGAAGCGTTACAGTGAAATGCTACAGAAACTTTTAGATGATCACAAAGATGTAGTCAGTCAACTTGCTGCTGGATTTCGAGAATGTAGAAAACACATTAAGGTGAGAAAAAGCTTTTGTAGATGAAACGACGCAATTGTAAACACGATGATCTAAATGTAATACAGTGTTGTGCTTTTAGCATGATCAATTTTTAATGATATGTTCATAAAAAAATCTTCTGACCAAAATAAACACCCCCAAGAAAGGAGTGATTGCATTATTGATTTATTTAATGAAATATAAAAGACAAAATATGTGTCATTTGCTAATTAAGATCTGAATAAGAACTTCAGCTGTTTCTTATTATCTTAATTATTTAAGATTATTAATTTTATTATTATTATTATTCAAAGTATGACATATTATTTCCAGTGGTGTTGTAAAGATGATTACATGTATTAACTTGGATCATAATTATCTCATGTTTCACAGATTTCATTTTTTGTGTCTTTTCTGGTACACTTACCTGATATTTCTATAACAATAACATTGTAGAGTTAATATGGGCAGTGAAGATTCATAAAGTTTGTGATTTTGTTTGTAATTAAATTCACTGTGGTGGTACTTGTAACAATTGAAGAGTTTTTTGCCCCCAATATCTGTTTATAATTTTACAAATGTTCAGCATTTTTTTTCTGGGACAAAAAAGGTATATGTGTACATATCAAGATCGACATTTATCAGTATCAACTTAGTATAGAATCCAGATATATGTGTGTACAACTGGTGGTAAGCTGACTGTAGAAAAAATTATTTTTTTCTCATGTTTTTAGCAAGAAGAACTCGTAAGAAATTTTTTAGACCGAACGTTAACTTCTCGATTAGGAATTAGAACACTAGCAGAGCATCATTTGGCATCACACGAGGAAAAAGTAGGTCTTTTTTTATTTAATACTATTTATAAAGTTAGTTATTTATCCTCAATCTTAAACTGATTGATGAACACTAGTGCGGCACTGAAAACAAAGTGAACCGTATACACGTATCCATGTAGAATATTAATTTCTAACTGAAACTATTTAAAACATTGTTTACCAAACTCAAAGAATTTCAATAATTCAGAAGCCCTTCGATTTAATATATATTTCTTTAATTCTTATTTATCTCCTTTCTGTTTAAAATGTTTTCATGAATTAACCATTATTAATCCAGCTAGTGGCCCGGCATGGCCAGGTGGTTAGGGCGCTCGACTCGTAATCTGAGGGTCGCAGGTTCGAATCCCCGTCACACCAAACATGCCAACCTCCACCTTTGCCTGGTCCCAAGTCCAGGATGAGAAAGGGGGATGGTTGGGTGCGGGGTTAGCAATTCCACCCCGTAAAAAACAACCTGCTACAAGTAACTGCAACAACACCTTCCGTTGGCGAGGTGTTGTTGCGGCCCTATGCTCCACTGGGAGTTTACAGGAATAAAAAAAAAAAATCCAGCTAGTATGAACATTATTGTTTATGATCATTGATTTATCACAAAAAGTTCCTTATGTGGATAAATAATAAAACTAGCACAGAATTTCTTCTTTTATGAGAGATGACAACATAAGTGTGAATAATTATTATTTATGTCATAAATTTAGAGATTGTCCATCGTATCTTACAGTTAAATTTGTTAGATACCAAATTAAGACATTTTGTTCTTTTGTTGTGATGATACGTCTGTTTTAAGTTTATGTAAAAAAAATAAATTACGGTAAACATTTTACAGTGGTTTCATAAAAAATTTACTTAAATAACTGGCCAAGTTTATGATTATTTCAGCATAAAATTCCAAAAACAGTTAATGTCTTCTTTAAGTTTCAGACCAATGTTGATGATTCCCACAAAATTTGGCTTTAAAAAAGAAAAACCAATTGACAGATTTCAACATCAAGAGTTAAATTTGCCAACCAAAAGTTTCATTTAATTGTCCTTTATCTACTGGAAATTATTCTCGGCCAAGTATTACGACCTGAAGATAACAACACGTAGGTGGTTGGTTATGGGAAGTATAGTATAAAAACCAGATCCAAGTCAGAAAAAACACAATTTTCATTGTACCTTAAAAAAAGTTTTTTAATATTGTACAAAAATATGATAAGTTCACGAGTAAGTTTATTACATAAGTTCGTTAGTGTCACTTGTTAAAAGTTATTGACAGCTGGGCAGATTTTGTAAGGTAAGATTACAGTAAGTAATGCTGTCGTGAAGCTACGTATCTAATGAGCGGTGATGAATAGGGTGAGACGCACGTTAACATTCCATACATGAGCTTGTTATTCTGACTGACTTTGTAACCTTGAAACTATAACTTTTAACCTAGTAAATGTATCTTCATGAAATCTGGTACACGAAAAAGTCAGATTTTTCAGTGAAGTATTTCATTAAAAGATTTATCTGTAAATGTAAAAGCTTTTACTGAGTCAGTTAATTAAGTGCAAGGTGATTTACACGTTAAGAAAAAATACTTTTTCATCTTAGTTTTCATATTTCATTTACATAACCCTTAGAACGTCTCAAGTGCATATTAAAATATTTTATTAGTAATAGTTTACATTTAATCATTTTCTCTACCCTAATACTAACTGTATCGGCCCTGGTCAATCTGACTGACCGTATGTCCATCCCATAACAGAAAAATACAAAATAAATTACGCTTTTTTCTTTCTGTGTAACAGACAATCACACACTACTTATTTTTACAGCCAAAAACCAATAAACTTTTCATTTAGTTTTATATAATTACATTTGCATGTAAGACTCTTTTACAGTATGCAGTAGCTAGTTATTACATGGAACATGGTCCGGCACGGCCAGGTGGTTAGGGAGCTGCTCGACTAGCTATCTGTGGATCGTGGGTTTGAATCCCCGTCCCATCAAACATGCTCACCCTTTCAGCAGTGGGGGCTTTATAATGTGATGGTCAATCCCACTATTTGTTGGTAAAAGAGTAACCCAAGTGTTGCCTGTGGGTGGTGATGACTAACTGCCTTCCCTCTAGTCTTTTACTGCTAAATTAGGGACGGCTAGTGCAGATAGCCCTCATGTAGCTTTGCACGAAATTCAAAACAAACAAACAAGCACGGAACATGTTAATATAAATTCTAGTTACAAGCAAGTGCTCATCAAATTTGCACAACCTCACTCATGCTGTGCAGCAGCTATAGAGTGTTTTCTTATCTACCGTAAGAAGTTTCATATTTTTACATTTTAGTTACTTTTATAACATTAAATAAATTTACACAAATGCAAAAATTGAGTTCCAATGTCTGAAATCCATCTTTTGTACTCGTACGACAGAAGTCCGCATCATATCCTAATCTTGATATTTTGTAATGATAATGTGTTCTCAGAAATTATTTGTGTTAAAATTCAAATATGTAGCCTAGAATACAAATATTGCCACTAATATAAAATAGAGTGTCCCAAAATGACTATAATTTAATTTAATTAAGTTATAAATAGTTTACAAAAATTCTGTTAGCTGCTTGGAGCGCAACAACAATGATCACATGTAAACTATCTGAGGCAAACTGTTTAGATCTTATAGAAGACAAACTGCTCTTCCTATTGGCTATAAACATGTGCACCATATAAGGACGTGGCTTTTCTTAATTATTTGAAAGCTGTGATATTTTGGGAGGTGCTTCAGTGTGAGTTTAACAGACTCATATCTCCGCAAACTGAGGAGGTAGGGGGCTCAAATTTTATATTCCAGCCTGTTAAGATCTGTAGTTTGTGTTTCTCTTTGGTTGGATACTCTGAAAGCCATATTAGGGATAAAAGAAAATCTTAAAAATTGGAGAATTCAGCGAGTAGATGCATCATGTTACACAGAGAAGGGAAGATTGAGAACTTATTTAAATATTTCCATTTCAAAATTAAGAAATTAAAACTTAGGTAATGTAAAACATTGAATTATAAATTATGTTTTAATGTCATGTTTATTAACGTACATTGGAAAAAAATAAAGTTGTTGTAGTTTTGAATGTAACTGTAAAAGGTCATGACATACACAATTGACCAACTTTTGACCAACAATTGACCAAATTGAGTGTATAAGGTTAACA